TCCCATCTACTTTACTTTAGCTGTGTGTTTATTTTCAGGCAGCTTTATTTTATTCATACCTTTATTTGTATTATTCTAGAAGCTCGTGCACTTGTGACACCAATTCTGGGATGGTATTTAGACACCGTTGTTTTTTATGTATTATTCACTACATTTCAGATTTTACTTCCGCATTTGTTCATTATTATTAATAAATTTAGAAATTGTTTTAAAAATGGATAATATTATTCTAATGTTGGCTTGCCTAGCAAGTGAAATGTTAGGCGCCATCACGATCCGAAGGTGGAAATTTCGGGTCGTGACAATTACTATACATGGTTTAGGAAGGGAAGCATGGGTTCACGTGCCCCATGAAACCCCCACTGGATACTCCTTAAGAGGGGGATTATATTTTGTAATTAAATAGAAAACAACGCTTGTGATTTGGCTAATTTTCTACACACCAAAGAATTATTCTTAATCAAAAGTGATTATTTAAATCTTCTATAAAAGTAACTATTTATTACATAATTATTATTACTAATATCTGAAATCTTCCTAAAGCAGTTTAAGTGCATTAACATTAATATATACTAAACGATACATATTAAAGATGATCGCATTATTCATAAAACCCAAGAACATTAAAAAAAAAAAACTCCATGTATCAAACCTATCAATAGATGTGTAGCTGAGTAAACCAGAAATAGGGAAGTACCATCTTGACATAAGAAAAGCAAACTCACACCTTCATAAGGAAAAAAAAGATGTTTTTCTCATATATATTAACTTGTTTTCTTATGTCTTTTTCGTCTCTTTCCTGATTCTGCACGTAAAACTTACACATACATAGAGTAACAAATATATAGAAAATCAGAATAAACTAACCCAACCCAACCTTCAATTAAAAAGAAAAATATTGGAGATCCTGCTAACATATAATCTGCATTTAGAATATTTATATTCACATGCACAAAAAAAAGATATAGAACAAAAATCAACCCAGCAAACGCAACCTTCATTTAGAAAAAGAAAGCACAACAAATCTTGCTGAAATTGAAAACAAAGAGCGTCCTTGGAGCGTTCAATTTTCTCCTAGAATTCAGCCCACCATTTGTCCATGATAACCAGATAAATAATCGGATTTCTCTTGAACTATATGGCACTAATGACAAGAATTATAAGCGTATAAATTATAAGAATCCTAGTAAAAAGTTTAACTTTGATTGAATAATATAAATAGTATCTAATATGAATACTAATAGAAATAAACTATAAACTTTGTAGGGTTGCATATGTTCAATTTAAATCAAAAAAGAATTCTAACCTTGCGTAATTACAATTATATCCTTATATTATACAAATATTTAAGGGCATAAAAGTCGATCAAGGTTTCAGGGATATTTTNATATTCCTTGGTTCGCACCCAAAAAAAACAATTAAGTCAATGGAGACGAAATATGCTCTCTTTTGGAGGCAAAATTATTTTTTGATTAGAATAGTTTATGGTCGCGTTGGGTTGCTGAAAAATACAGGCTCTTAATTGGAGTATAAAATTATGTTGCTGAAAATGAGGCATATAAGAACATAGTACAGTAAATCCAAATTGATATAAATAGAAGATGCATCTAGTTTTCTTGGTAAAATTAAGTACAAAGTCACTCGACTAATGCTGGTTTATTTATTGTTTACATGCAGTCCTCCAAAGGCTGTTTTTATGTTGATTGAAAGGTTTATTCAATATAATTCGTTCCTTTGGGGCACAGGTGTATTATGTATGGGAGTTTTCATGTCTAAAACTATGCTATCCTTATGTCACGACCACAAACAAATCCCTGTCGTGATGACCACAAACAAACCCCTGTCGTGATGACGCCTATCGTGGAACTAGGCAAGCCGACTCATTTCCAAAACAAACCGATATTTTCATTTCAAAGATAATTTCAGTGCTCTTTAACAAAAAAACCTTCGCAAAGGAGTTCAAATCAAAATAAAAGTGCGGAAGGAAAAGCCCGACATCGGGGTGTCACTAGTCATGAGCATCTACTACAATCTGTCTAACAATATCAAGGCTAACTCAGCCTGGAAAATAGCTAAATACAACTAAAGGAAGATAAGAGGGAGAAGAGCAGGGGCTGCGGTCGCCAAGCAGCTACCTTGCTATCCCCGAGAAAATCTGCAACCAAAATAATCAACAACCGCTACCCTGTCCAGCTACACCTGGATCTGCACACAAAATGTAGAGAGTAACGTGAGTACGCCAACTCAGTAAGTAACAACAATAAATAAAGACTGAGCAATAGTGACGAGCAATAAAGCATATAACGTTCATATCAGGAAATCTCAGTAAAATACCACATGCTTTTAAAATCAGGATTTGAATCAAAATATCTCGTTTAAACCCAGTTTCAGTAAAAATCATTTAAAGATATTTTTTAACAGTTTTCAAACAGAGGAAAAATGTAAAGGTGAGCAAAAATGATGAAATCATAAAACATCACTCATATACAGCCCATCGGGCAAACCTCACAGTCACTCGTGCTACTCGGGTATACCTCACAATCACTCTTGTCACTCGGGCATACCTCACAATCACTCTTGTCACTCGGGCATACCTCACAATCACTCATGCCTCCAGTCACTCAGCACTCGGCACTCACACTCAGTAGGTACATGCGCTCACTTGGGGTGTGTACAGACTCCAGAGGGGCTCCTTCTGCCCAAGCGCTATAATCTGTACGGACAACTCACGTGCTATAATAATAAAGTATGCTGCAGGCGGGCAGCCCTGATCCACACTCATCCTCACAATCAGGCCCTCGACCGATATCAAACATGATGCGGCGTGCAGCCCGATCCTATAAATATCCTCACAAATCAGGCCCTCGGCCTCACTCAGTCATAAACCTCTCAAGCCACTCAGGCATTTCAGTAAAACAGTGTGCTCGTCCCAAAACATTTATATGCATCAAAATAGAGTCATAAAACTGAGTTACAAGTGTAACCATGACTGAGTATAGATTTTCAATAGAAAACAATGAGAGGATAGTAAGAAAAGGCCCCTAAGGGTCCAAACAACACTGGCACAAGGCCCAAACATGGCATTCAGCCCAATTTACAGAAACTCTTTCTAAAACATATAAGTATCATATAGTTTCAACAAAGTATGCAACTTTACAGTTGCTACGGGACGGACCAAGTCACAATCCCCAACAGTGCACGCCCACACGCCCGTCACCTAGCATGTGCATCACTAAAAATAGTAGCATGATACAAAATCCGGGGTTTCATACCCTCGGGACTAGATTTACAATCGTTACTTACCTCAAACCGGTCAAATCTCTACCCCACAATACTCTTGCCTCTAGACTCGGCCTCCAAATGCTCCAAATCTATTCACAATCAGTACAATACCATCAATATACGCTAATGGAATGAATTCCAATGGAAAAGCTATAAAATTAGACCAAAACCCAAAATTAGCTCAAACCCGGCCCCCGGACCCACGTCTCGAAATCTGACAAAATTTACAAAACTAGATAGCACATTCACTCACGAGTCTAACCATATCAAATTTATCAAAATCCGACATCATTTGGTCCTTCAAATCCTTAAATTACTTTTCCAAAAATCTCAAACCCTAACCCCTTATTTTCACTAATTACAATGACTAAACAATGAAAAATCACCATATATACAAGTATTAGGGCTCAAGCAACTTACCTCACTGATAGCCCTTGAATCACCCTTCAAAAATCACTCCAGAAGCTCCACAAACCGACTTGAAAATGGTAAAAATGAACTAAATTCGCGAAGCATTCTATTTATGGTTTCTGCCCAGGTTTTCGCACCTGTGGGCCCTTTTTCCGCGCCTGCGGGACCGCACCTGCGGTCAAGGCATCGCATCCGCGAACTCCACTTAATTCCCCAACTTCTACACCTGCGCTCCAGGCCTCACACATGCGGGTTCGCAGGTGCGGCCAAATCCTTCACGTTTGCGCTCCAGCCTTGGCCTCACATTTTTTTCGCATCTGCGCAGCAAATTCTCGCGCCTGCGAAAGCACACCTGCGCATTTCCTCCACTTCTGCAAAGCCTGCCCAGCATCTCCCTTTGCGCATCTGCGCCACAGGTTTTGCACCTGCGGGCTCGCAGATGCGACCTCCAACTCGCACCTGCGCAACCTGCCTAGCCCAGCATTGCCCGCACCTGCGAACTCCCCACGCGCACCAGCGGCCTCGTACCTGCGACTCTTTCTTTCGCAGGTGCGAAAATAGCAGTAACAGCAGCTTCAACTGCATTTTCCAACTCCGACAAATCCGTTAACCACTCGGAATCACCCCGAAGCCCTCGGGACCTCAACCAAAAATACCAACAAGTCATATATCAACATACCAACTTAGTCGAACTTTCAAATGACTCAAACCAACATCAAATCATCAAATTACCCTCGAATTCAAGCCTAAGAACTTCTAAATTTCCAAATTTGACAACCGATGCCGAAACCAACCAAACCACGTCTGAATGACCTCAAATTTTGCACACACATCACAAATGATACTACAAACCTATTCCAACTTCCGAAATTTCATTCCGACCCCCGATATCAAATTTTTCACTGCCGACCGAAATCGCCAAATTTCCAAATTTCGCCAATTCAAGCCTAATTCTACCACGGACCTCCAAATCACATTCCGGACGTACTCCTAAGTCCAAAACCACCTAACGAAGCTAACGGAGCCATCCGAATTCAAATCCGAAATCGTTTACACATAGGTCAACATCCAATTGACTTTTCCAACTTAAGGTTCTAAATAAGAGACTATGTGTCTCATTCCACTCCGAAATCACTCCGGGCCTGAACCAACTAACCTGGTATATCATAATATAGCTTAATAGCATAAAGGAAACAAAAATAAAAAAAACGGGGCTATAACTCCCGAAACGACCGACCGGGTCGTTACACCTTACGAAGAGGGTAAACTCGGACTTGGTGACCTAAGGACTGTAGTCTGTACACAAGGCATTAATGGCAAGATTTTGTTAAGTATGGAGATTTCTTTTGTTAAAACAAAAAGAAAACAGAAAAAGAGAAAAAAGAAGTATTCGTTCGTTATTACATTCATAAACTTCTGTTGGGTTTTGGCTTGAGGCGATTTTTTCATTAGTATCTAGGTCACTAACTCCACCTTTCAGGATGATTACCTGCAGTACGTAAATATTTCATGTTAGTGATATTTTACACTGTCCGTGGATAAATAAAAGCTAAACTCCTTGCTAAATTATTACTGAGTCAGTCGATAGTGAACTATAACTACTGAAATCATGACTAGAAGAAATTCCTGAATCGGGGACTGGCATCGAGAACAACACATTTTCCTTCTCAGAAAGGTAACACTAACTGCTATTGATTCTATCCTGCCATAAGACATGGCTCAAGCTGTTGAAATGTCGCAGAGACCATTCTGTATCTAAGCAAGTGATCAGTATGGACGTTTACTCTATGTTGATTGTGACAACCTTTTTTGGTCTTCCACGTGAAGGCTCCGGCTGGTTATTGCTATTTGGTCTCAGACCTCCTCCAAACCCAGGATTCCAGTTGGTTAACGAATGATTACTTGTTCCTGCAAAACAATAGTGCAAAATGCAAACTATGCATGAGCATTAGATAGAGATGAGTATGAAAGTGGCAACATTATATTCCCTGGGACCGAAAACCCATGTTTTTAAAGGGCACAAATCTTTTTGTAGATTATTTCCTGAGCATTATTACATGCTAGTAATAGCATGTTTGGCCAAGTTCTGAAGAGGCCAAAAGTACCTTTTTCTCAAAAATACTTTTTTCCCTAGCTTGAAGTGTTTGGCCAAGTTTTTTTGAGGAAAAAAATGCTTTTGGGAAGAAGTAGAAGCAATTTTGACTTTTCTTCTTACCAAAAATACCCTTAAAAAAATATAATATACACCAAAATAACCGTTAAACCTAATACTTAGGACATTAATGTATTTAATATTTCTTATTATTTTTAGGATAACTTTCTAATATATAGTGACTTTAGGAGTGAATGTTTTTATATTTGTTGAATGATTTTTAATATATTTAACTTATATTAAAAGAATTAAGTACTTTTAAATTTTATTTTCATATTTTACTTAAATAAAATGAAAAGATTTAATTATTGCCTGTAATAACAAATTTTTAAGATTATTTATTTACTTATAATATTAACTATTAAGTAAATCTATTCATGTCCTTATTCGTAATTTGATACTTAAAAGCACTTTCTGAAAAGTTTGGCCAAACACAAATTATTGCTCAAAAGTGCTTTTCAGAGTGATTAACCAAACACAAACTGCTTCTCTCCAAAAGTACTTTTGAAAAAACACTTCTCAAAATAAGCTTATTTCTTTAGTTTGGCCAAACAGGCTATAAGTTTTACTACACAGGCATAGTACATGTTCAATATTGCCCCATTTATAGAAGTATATGTCCGGATATGGTGAGATGAGAAAACAACAAAAGGAGCAAGCATGTCAAGAGCACCTCAAAACGTTGCATTTGTTAGGTCACCTTAGTACGACCATATACGTGTTAAGTGTCTCGCACTAGCTGTAAAGAGCATCTAAAAGGCTTATAAAGTTATTGAGTCATTCGTCCATATTAGATTAATATTTTGGGTTCGATTAAGTTCTTCTGTATTAGTATTAGAGTCAACCTTTGATAAGCCCGTGTCATATTCCTAAATTTGCATTCAAGTCTATGTATGAATCAAAAAGATCGAATTACACATGCAGAAGCATGTTGGGATATATAAGTGGCCTATGGTGTAGAAGAACTTATATACATCTTGAGTCAATCCAACCATTGTTTTAACCGATTGCTTTACAATTTTATATATAATATTTAAGGCGCATAGTAGATTTTAGATATATACAATCTACATGTCCTATAAAGCTTGGAATTCCATTTGGACATTGTCACTCCAAGACGATGTAGATCATACAAGATACCATTATCACTTGGCCATGTTTCATAATGTCCATCCTTTTTTCTACAAGAAGTATTTATCTTTATCTTTCAATTAGAATTAGTCATACATATTAACTAGAAATAACATCATCTCTTAGCTAGAAATATGTTTAATCTAACACTCTTGTCAAAAGTTTTGATTGTTCATTCGAACTATTTACCCTTCTCCCTTATCCCCTCCTTTCTCCAATCCCCCCCTTCCTCCTCCCTTTCTTTCTTCATTCTTCCCTCTCTCATTTCTTACCCTGTTTTGCTTTTCCACTTCTGATACTACATCAACCTAAGCAATTTTGTATATATGATTTGAATTGTCATATAACTAAGAATGAATATGGGCAACAAATGTTTGTTTAATGCTTTCCACTCCATTATGTTATCAAATCATGAGCAAAGTGTCGAACTTAAGTACTTGGAATCAACAAGAGATTACCAGCAGATATTCCTACAGTATTTTCTGCCAGTTCTAGCACTGAAGGAAACAACCATGACTGGCTTCTAGAATCTTAGTGAGACACAAAGATTCAAAACAAGTCAATGGATCTTATAATTGAACTAACTTCTAGTTTAGGACCACAACAAAACCTGCAAAACTTTTTACTAAAAATAAACTGCCACTAAACTAAAGTCGTGCTAAATATAACTTCTAAATTATAATCATATCTTGCGCCAAGGATCTTTCGCTTAAAAAGGTGTTCCCCCTTTTTTTATTTTTTGGTAATTAAAATTTTTATTGGTCACCAAGTAAGGAATTTACAAAACCAAGCTGAACTAACACAACCAGCCATCCAAAACGGCAAGAACTATTAAAACTAAAGCACTCTGCCTGTACTTGATGGATTGAGAGCTCACCTCCTAGGGAGGATATCTCCCAATCAATAAATTAGTTACACAGAAAGGAAACTCATCTATCAATCAGCACTACACTAAAACTCCACGATTGTACCAGACTTCTAATCCCTGGGGAAGCTCTAACATTACAGAGATAAGCAATGTTTCTAGTAATACTGACTACTTCGCTGCTGATTCCTTCAAATATCCTTTGGTTTCTTTCCATCCAAACAGCATGATTGACTTCTAAATAAATCATTCTAAAGACTCGAGCTGATTGTGATCTGCCCTTGGCACTCTTGACAGCCCGTTGTATTTGCTGCTAACATGTAGCTGCTGAAAAGGGTTTGACTCTTCATCCAAACCTAAAGCTTTAGTAAATCTACAATATCCATATAAGTGATCTCTACATTCATGTTGAGTTTGACGGAGAGCACAAGATATCTACCCGTACACCCCAGCTAGCAAGCCTACCTGCAGTAAGTAACTTGCCGTGCAACATTAACCACATTATTTAAAATGTGTTCCTTTTAAATAACCTAAAGTAACTTTGAGGGATAACATCTTTTGTTCTCACACGAATATCCTCAGGCCTACTGAAAATGGAGAGAATTAATGAAGTAATATGTTAGAAGACATTTAGCTTAATATAGAATATAGTATTCTTCCAAATTCTGTCGTATTTAGAAATATTTATGTTTGGTTATTCTTCTTATTTAATGAGTAATGACTCTTCTTATCTCATGTAATCCAAACTTGCCTTATTTCTAGTAGCCTAAACTCCTTTATATGGAACTGCTTATACATCATCTACAATCAATTCAATACAATATCTCTCTTCTTTCCACCTATTTTCACATGGTATTAAAGCCTTTAGAATCTTGGTAGTGACATAAATAACTTCACCCTACGGTGGACGGTCTTACACCTGTACCGACAAAGTTTTCCATTCTTTCCATAATTTCACTACTCTCATCTCCTTTCTATAACCAGTCCGGATGCATCATTCTTTCATACTATCACTTTCAACATTGTTTTGGTACCATGTGTCAAGTTTCAATGTTCACATTAGTCCAGGGGTGATATAATTAGTCCACATCTATTATCTTGTCAAGTCGACAGCCATCCCAGTTAACTGACATATCATCATCACAATCTAACGACAAGTCAACATCTCTAGTCAGCATCATATCATCGTTACACCTCTACCAAGTCAACGCCATGAATAGGCAGGATCTGGCCAAGCTGGCAGTACTTGTTTTTGTTCATAACTCTAGTTAAGCCGGCAGCAGCATGTCCTCAAATACAGCCATGTTCACAGCCTAGTGTTTTTGTTTCATGGCATTGTCAAGTTATCATTTCTTGCATATTCGACTTGACTTTTCAGTTATAATTTACAAACTCAAGTTGTTTCATCACCTTGAGTTTGGAAAAGTGGGTTGGAAGTCAAGAACATTTATGTAATAACATATTAGGATACATCAAGATTAATAATATAGAACATTCTTAATTCAGTCAAAAAAATTAATAATCTCCGTACCTAGGTAATTTCCTGTAAATAACGTTACTTTTTTCATGTAGCTTAAACTTATCTAATTCTGAGTAGCATAAACCTCCAAAAGAGGAGCCGTTATTGTCTATCACCAGTTCAATACAAGTTATTTTCACAATGTCTAAATGATTCTTAAGATTATTATTTATTTGCGGAGAAATTGAACATATATGCAGGAAGAATAAGGTAAAAACTGACCACCTCTCTTAATCTGCGACTTTCCTTAAAATGTGTTTGAAATAAAGTATCTGTACTATCACTACATAACGAGTAAAGCCTATTTGACCTATCTGCATGAAGAACATGCTCATCAAATAAGGTCGTTTATTGTCTAACAGTTATAAGAAACACAGAGCTAGGGAAACTCCCACTCTGACAAAAACGTATGGTACAAAAAAATGGAGCCCATCAACATACGTGCCAATAAACTATTTAACAAGAATAGAGGAACGCATATATTTCATTCTAACCTGCATTTGCATGAAGATCAAACCCATTGTTCCAGCCGGGCAGATGCTTATCAGCATTCCCTTTCCAAGTCTGTTCAAATCTAGCTATTTCATCTGGACGATAATAAGTAAAATTACATGACATTTAATCCACTGTTCAGCGAGACCTTAAAACAGAACATCTAGGTATACTACCTTCTTCTATATTATGCAAAGTCTGCACTGAGTTCACCTTGCCATCAGAATCAAGCTTCCTTGTGAGTGAGTGTCCCTGCAAGTGGCAAGAATGAATAAGACACCTATGGCTTGTATTTCACCAATTAGGTTGCTATTGCCAAAAGTTGGAAATCAAATGTTAACAGAGAAAAATAGATTGGGTCAAAACCCAGTGAACATCATTCGGCTATGCTATTAAGAGCAAAACAATGTGGTTGCAGTTATCAAGCTCCGAATCTCTTTTTCCACCACAGAGACAAAGTGGTGGGAAGTCCTGTAAATTCCTGAAGTTTAGATGAGACAGAACGGACCTTTTTGCGTGTGCACATAAATACTAAACATAACAGATAGTCAGATACTGGAAAATCCATTAAGGTTTTACATTTAGTTACTTAAGGCTACATACATAGTTGCTATGTCAGCAGATCTGGTCCTTCTGGAGGTCACAAAATTTCGTGTAAATGATCCAAAACTTTTAGGAAATTCATATTCATAGTTCATGCCTTCTACTTCACTAGATAGACTTTAACATATACACCATATTAAATTTCTGAAATCATTTAAGAACACAGCGGGAAAAAAAAAAACTAAACATAGCAAAATACCTTGTCGTGAATGCCCCTAGAGATTCTATGTGTTGCTTGACCAGTTGTTAAATCTGCTTGTTTGCTGTCCTCTAAAACCATCTGCTTCACACATGTGGAGTTACAACCAGGAACGAGGAAGAACTATGCCTTTAAGTTAGAACTAAAGGACATCAATGCAAAGACAACGTACTCCATTGCTTCCCGTCCTACGCGTGGTAGTGGCAGTGTAATATGCCCCATTTATCCCACCATATGTTACTCTTCTATAGCTAACATTCTGAGTCTGGGCTTTTGCTCCTTCATTTTTCTTCGCTTTCAACCTATGAGCCACGTCTTTGCTTATGCTTTTACTCTTGTTGTGATCTGTCACATAAGCACAGTACATTTGCACCAATTAGGATGCTATAAAAATGATGGAGAAAAACATACAACTTGGGGACAAAGGAAATAAACTAAAACTAACACTTACCATCAGGTTCGCCATCAGGGTGCTCAATGAGTGGATTTGCGTTATTATAAGCATTAGTTTGATCTTTTTCTTTGCTCATTCCGAAACCATTAACACCACAATTATCCTCTTCTGCTTCTCTTCCTACATCTCCCTCATCATCAGTATCTAGCTCTATAATGACCGGCCCATTTGATCTAGCAAGAGGCTGTGAATCAGCTGGTGGAGTTCTATGATGTAACATGGACGACTCTGACGAGTTCTCAGGTGAGCAAGTCGCGTACGGGTCATCAGATGGATCTTTTCTTCCAAAAATACGGGACATCACGCCTCGAAGTCTATCAAACGGACTACTGGAGGAGTTAGAATTGTCTCTACCATCTCCTTCTCTCTGCATAATTTTCTAATTTACCTCTGAATTCCAGATTAAAACTTCAGAACATCATCTATAAAATAGAGATACAGTTTGCAAAGAATAAAACACCAAATTAGTATATTAAAGCATAATGATCATAGCTCTTTGTATGTGACAATTTGAAATAGTAGATAAAAAACAACAGAATTTGATAATCGATTATGTAACCTACATAAAAACCTTGTCAATGTTTGAAATTAATAAGCATGCATTTTGTTTACAATCTAATTATAAGGGTGCCATACTTCCAACTGAGAATGGATTTTGCAAAAGCATAAAGTAATAAATGTTTAAGATACTTCATGCATTCGCATGTATCCCCTAGAAATTGATTAGCACTATAGGAGATCATCCTCCTCTCCAACAAAGGCATGTAATTACTTATAGAAAATATACACACTATAAATTTCTTTCAGTTCCTTTCATTAAATAATCGCTGCATAGCTGATGTAGAGCGTGCCATTTCGATTATGAGAAAATAACTGAATGAAATAAGAAACAACGAAACGCTACACAAGATTACTGATTTCTTTTACAACAAACAACTACTACAACAACTACTATGCATCAATCTCTAACAAGTTCGGGTCGACTCCATGAATCTCCACTATCCATGTCACCCCATTCATGGTATCTCAATACAATATTATACAAAGGCAACAACAACAAAAATCCCATTCAAACTAGAGTAGGCTATATGAATCCTCATTGACCATGTTCCTCCATTAAAATCCATTTTGGGCAAACATCATACAAAATAAAAATTAATTAAAAAGTACAAGAGATTCTCTATATTTTCTAACGATTGTGGTCACTCATATCTATTATCTTAATGTCCGCATCTCTTCTACACTTCTTTCAAAAGTCAAGATTTGCTATGCATTCCAGGCATTTAATTATCGAATTTGGAAAGAAGGAAAAAAAACAAGACCAAGTGCCCGTATCATTATTTCCAACAATTCTACTAGCATGTTTCTAGAATTGGATCATCATTAATGCCAGAGAAGTTGAAGAAACGCATGAAATTCTCGATCACATTCGGAGTATTTACGTATTAATAAACGCAAATGATGATGATAATAGATAAATTTACCTTGGATACAGAGTCGAATTCGGGACCGATTTGAAGAAGACAGAGGAGATAACAAATTGTTTGAGTGAGAAAAAATAATGACCGGGAGGGGACTGGGGAAAGAGTAACGCGTGTCAAGAACCTAGATCCCTTCTCTTTTGACTCTACGTATACGTATTGAACTAAGGTCGTACGATAGTAAAGAAGTGAGGATAAAAAAAGAAACGAATTAAAATAGTATCCATTTGTTTATGCGACTGATTAATTGTCAATAATCACAGGCGCATCAAGATTTTAAAAAGATATAAAAAACGTAAATTTAGAATTTATATTTAATAAGTTTAACCTTAAGGTTCTTGCCATGAATTTATTACATTGTTGAAATTAAGGGCATGTTTGAAAAGTTACTCTCTAATTGAATTTGGGTGTAATTTGGTATAATTACATAGTTTTAGCATGTTTGTCTGACTAAATAATTACTTGGTCAGGATTTACAAACAACAACAACAAACCCAGTGAAATTTCATAAGTGACTCTGGGAAGGGTAGTGTGTACGCAGATTTTACCCCTACCTTACGAAGGTAGAGAGGTTGTTTCCGATAGACCCCCGACTAAAGAGGAAAAAAAACTAAAAAGGAAGCAAATACAAAAATTAGTAACCATAGCGAGCAAAGGTGATATAATAACCGAAGCGAAAGAAACGACATATAGTAAAAGAAATATACGGGTACGAAGAAATGAAAATACGAGACAAACGTTAATGATATCGGCATATAAATAAGACACGCATGCTTAACCACTACCCTTCTACCTTAATTCTCAACCTCCATATCTTGCTATCAAGGGTCATGTCCTCACTAAGCTGAAGTAGCACCATGTCATGCCTAATCACCTCTCCCCAATACTTGTTAGGCCTACCTCTACCTCGACTTCTCCTCAGCCCTCCCCCCAACCCCATAACCAACCTCTCACACCTCCTCATTGGGGCATTTATGTACCTCCTCTTCACATTCCCGTACTATCTCAATCTAGCTTACCTCATCTTGTCCTCTATAGGTGCCACTCCCACCTTTTCCCAAATATCAACATTCATTATCTTATCTAACTTGGTATGCCCACACATCCATCTTAGCATCCTCATTTCTGCTACTTTCATCTTCTGGACATGAATGTTCTTAATAGGACAATACTCCGCCCCATATAACATAGTAGGTCTAACCAGCACTTTGTACAAACTTACCCTTAAGTCTTAGTGGCACCTTCTTATAAAATAAAACCCCGGAAGTGAGCCTCCATTTCATTAGTACTTCTCTAATACAATGTGTGACATCCTCGTCAATCTCATCATTACCTTGGATAATAGATCCGGGGTATTTGAAATTCCCCTTCGTAGGGATGACTTCTGAATCCAGCTTCCCTTCCACGTCAGCATCATGAGTCACGTTGCTGAACTTGCATTCCAAGTACTCTGTTTTAGTCTTGTTCAACTTGAAACCTTTTGACTCCAGGGTTTGTCTCCAAACCTCCATCCTCGCATTTATACTACATCGCGTCTCGTCAATTAGTACTATATCATCCGCAAATAACATGCACCATGGTATCTCCTCTTGAATGTGCCGCGTCAGAACATCTATCACCAAGGAAAATAAAAATAGGCTAAGCGCGGATCCCTGATGCTAGTCCATCCCGAAAGGGAAGTGTTCCAAGTCTCCCCTTACCGTCCTAGCCTGGGTTTTAACGCCATCATACATATCCTAGATTACCCTAGTATAAACTACAGGCACACTTCTAACCTCCAAACACCTCCAAAGAACCTCCCTCTGAACCTTGTCATAAGTTTTCTCTAGGTCAATAAACACCATGTGCAAGTCCTTCTTCCTATGCCTATATTGCTTCAATAGTCTCCTAATAAGGTGAATGGCTTCCGTAGTTGATCGCCCTGGCATGAATCCGAACTGATTCTAGGTAATAGATACACTTCTCCTCACCCTAACTTCCACCGCGCTCTCCCACACTTTCATGGTGTGACTTAGCAGATTGATATCCCTACAGTTGTTGTAATTTTAGATATCCCCCTTAGTCTTGTACATTGGAATCATCGTACTCCACCTCTATTCTTCAGGCATCTTCGTAGTCCTAAAATGGCATTGAACAACCTAGTAAGCCACTCCAAGCCTACTCTATCTTCAATCTTCCAAAATTCCACAGATCTCATCTGGCCTGGTCGCTCTACATCTACTCATCTTGCGCATAGCCCCCACAACCTCTTCAACCTTGATACGCCTGCAGTACCCAAAATCACGGCGACTCTCGGAGAACTCCAAGACCCCCAACACGCTGTCCTTATTTCCCTCATGTTCAAGAGTCCTTGAAAGTATGTTTTCCATCTACATCTAATAAATGCATCATCCATCAATATTCCATCTACATCTAATAAATGCATCATCCATCAATACATTGTTATCCTTGTCTTTGATGCACTTCACTTGGTCTAGGTCACGGGCCTTCCTCGCTCTCACTTTGGCTAGCCTGTATAACTTCTTATCCTTGCCTTTAGCTCCTAATTCTTCATACAACTGTCCAAATGTTGCATTCTTAGCCTCCGTAATGTCTAGTTTCACCTCCTTCTTAGCTTTATCATACCATTCCCTATTCATATTTCTCTCCTCCTCATCTCTGCTATCCACTAGCTTCAAATACACTGTTTTATTGGCTTTCACTTTTCCTTAGACTTGTCCACTCCACCACCAGTCCTCTTTATGTCCATTAGGGTAACCCTTCGAGACCCCTAACACCTCTCTAGCAGCTTCTCGAATGCAATTCACTGTCGAGGTCCACATATTACTCGCGTCTCTACTACTCCTCCAGAGCCCTATTGTTTGCAACTTCTCCCCCAATTGTAGGAAAATCTCCCTAGTCAAAGCTCCCCACTTGATCTTTGGTTGGCCTCACGTGGACCTTTTACTCTTCATCCTCTTAATATTCAAGTCCATAATCAAGAGCCTATGTTGGGTCACTATATTCATGCTCGGGATAACCTTGCAATCTGAATATAAACCTCTATTGCACCTTCTGAAGAGAAGATAATCAATCTGGGTCTTGGCCACCACACTACGAAAGGTTACCAAATGCTCCTCTCTCTTCTGGAAACACAAGTTAGCTATAATAAAATTAAAATCTCTTGTGAAATCCAAAAGCGAAGTACCTCCTTCATTTATATCCTCAAAACGGAAGCTGCCATGCACTTCGTCGTAACCTCCAACAGACGCCCCAATATGGCCATTGAAATCTCTACTTATGAATAACTTATCAGAGTGCGGAATACCTTGCCAACCTCGTCCAGATTCTCCCAGAAGTGCCTTTTAACCTCCTCGCCCAAGCCCGCTTGAGGTGCATAAGCACTAGTAACATGAACATTCCGCCTTCCAACAACTATCTTAGTAGCCATTAGCCTATCATTCACCTGCATCATATCTCCACTAGCTCCCTGAGTTCCCTATCAACCAAAATATATATCCCGTTCCTACCCCTTACACCTCTTGAGTACCATAGTTTAAACCTATCTACATCCCGAACCTTAGTACCCGCCCATCTAGTCTCCTGGACACAAGTTATATTGATCTTCCTCTTCAAGAGAATCATAGCTAACTTATTAGACTTCTCCGTCAATGTCCCTATGTTCCAAGACCCTATTCTCAAATTAGAAGTACCCTTTCACACCTCGCCCCCACCCCCACTCGAGGACATGACCTTATTCTACCATTGTTTACCACTGCCACTATAGGAATATTAAGCACACCCTACCACGGTATAAGCTAATAGTATAAAGGAAAGAATAATGCCTAGAGCTTAAAGCACTAATTAAAGGCCAAGATAAGAAAAAAGAAGCAAGTAATGTTTTTACTAAAGCACTAATTCGACTAATCTAGAGAAAGAAGTAGGAAACATGTATCGAATACAAGAATCAGAAAGTAAGTACAAGCAAGCCAAGATCCTACATAAAATGGGTGCAACCTAAGGCTAAAATGACACTAAATTGCCCTAGAAACAAGCCAACAAGCACTGAACTATATTATGGTAATTTATGCACTTTGCAAGAAATAAGACTGAAGGAAATTCAGCGGAGCGGAGGTACCAAGTCCGAAAAGAAAGAACCTGGTTATGGTCTTGAGCGTCATATCGTTGTTGGACATCTTCCTAGGTCAATTCCGGCCTTGTACGCGCTGCCATGCACTTCTACTGCCGCTAGCCTTTGCCGGCACATGTGCGTCATACGTATTTTCTTTGGTAGCTTTGGAACCTGGGACTCTTGGGGACACAACCGCAAGAACCGTAGCAGAGGATGGAGGGGAGAAGAAAAGAAAAGGCAAAGAAGAAGAAGAAGAAGAAGAAGAAGAAGAAGAAGAAGAAGAAGAAGAAGATGATGATGATGATGATGATGGTGATAGTGAATCATAGAACTGAGGGCGCCTGCGACCTTTAAGACTAAAGGGGGAGAGAATGTAGGTAGAGGGAAGAAAGAGGAAATAGGAGAGAAGGAACACAGAGAGGAGGGATNTAAGTCGCCAGTGGTGGCTCAAGGAAAAAGGGGGAGGGTGGGATTTTCATTACCAGCGAGGAGAGAGAGAGAGACGAAAAAACCTCAATATAAGCATGTAATTTGGTGCAATTGAGGGGTGCAATTATACTCTCCAATTCTCAGGGGTGCTTAGAATTGTTGGTAATTAATGGTGTAATTACAAGATTATTTTTTGAATCTCTCTTTTTTTTAATTTACTTTTTATTTTATTCATTTTTTCTTTAATTTATTTTTTATTTTAAACTTTTTAAATTCTTTTTTTTTCAAATATTATTCTTTTTACATTATTTATCTTTTATTTTCTTATTTCTCATTTCTCAATCTTTACTTCACGTGTTTCTACATAATTTCTCATATTTTATTTATTTTTTAATTATTTTTTTATTTTTTATTACACTTAGCTATGGCAATCGAACAAGAGTGGGTTGCTCTAGTGGTGAGCACCCTCCACTTCAAACTAAAAGGTTGTGAGTTCGAGTCATCCCAAGAGCAAGGTGGGGAGTTCTTGAAGGGAGGGAGCTGAGGGTCTATCGGAAACTGCCTCTCTACCTCAGGGTAGGGGTAAGGTCTGTGTACACGCTACC